CCACGTCCGCCTTGGATAGACGCAGATGGTAGATAGTAATCCAGTGATTTCCAGTCTCGAATACAACATTCAGTACTTATTGATCTTTTCTCAGAAATCCTGCATCGTGGAGCATTCAGTGGCGTTCTGGCTACGTTAGTGAAAGGCAATAGTGAACACATTTATAGGTTCCGATAGGATTTTTTCGAGATTCGATCGCTCCATTACTCCGAGAACCGAGGTCGATGATGTAAGGGAAACGTTAAACTCGATATCGCCACCGATGACCTCACTTTCGCACATGCTTCATTATCCAATCATCGCGATCTAGAAAATGAACAATGCTCGGATATTAGTCAATTACGGTTCAATTGAGGTGATCGTTGATTGGAAAATAATATAAAAAGTGTGCAGAAAGTCGAATGAGCAACACAGAATGCTTGAGGAAAAGCTGATCGTTGGCGTCGCTTCTGCCTGCTCCACTTTGGCCATTGTTGCCTGCTTGGTCGTGGTTCCTTCACTCTACAACACCATCAACGAAATCCACGATGAAGGTCCTCGACGGAGTTTCTGTGTTCCGCGTCGAGACCGACTCTGCCTGGAGCCAAATGATGGATTTCCAAGTCACCGTCGCTCCTCCAACCAAGCCTCGTGAAAGCCCCTTCGCCTCGATCTTCCGTGACAAAAGACAGGCCGGTCTTCCCTCATACTGCCAGTGCACAACTCCAACGGTCAACTGCCCACCTGGACCTCCTGGACCTCCTGGACAGCCTGGATCACCTGGTTAGTTTGCCTTCTTGTTGCTTCATCAGCTGTGGATGTGTTTTGGTCAAACAATGTTTGAAAAATTTAGGACAACCCGGCTCACCTGGTCCTCCTGGTGCAGATAACACAGTTACATACGCTCCCATAGTCTGCCCCGGAAGAGACACTACATGCATCCAGTGCCCAGCAGGACCACCTGGACCATCAGGACCAGCTGGTGCTCCCGGAAATCCTGGACCTGACGGAAACCCGGGTCAGGCTGGATCTCCTGGTCAGGATGGACAACCGGGACCAGCTGGACCTCCCGGAGATGCTGGATCACCAGGAAATCCTGGAGGCGATGGACAACCTGGATCGCCCGGAAACAGCGGCACCACATCAACTCCCTCTCCCGGCCCACCTGGAACTACTGGACCAACTGGACCACCTGGTAACGCCGGTAGTCCAGGACAACCAGGAAACGCAGGAAATCCCGGATCGCCAGGACCTGCTGGACAGCCTGGAGGACCGGGACAGCCTGGATCAGACGGTACTCCAGGAAACCCTGGAGGAACTGCGCCACCAGGAGGTGATGCCGCCTACTGCCCCTGCCCTCCTCGCTCAGCAGTGTTCGTAGCCCGTCGTCGTATTGCCAAGCACTAAACTTTTGAAGGTGTTCAATTCCGTTGACAACATCCTGTGCTTTCCTTAGATAGTGGATGTTTGATAAATAAATGCATTGCTCAAAGACTTGTTGCAAAAGGAATGGTAACGGTTTCAAGTGTGTTACGGTGTATGTGTGTAACTGGGAGAATTCTGCCGGAATTTAATGTGCAAAGGTCCACTCTCCTAGAAAGAGGGGGTGATTGTTTTGCTACCATCTTTCATTCACCACATACTTTCAAGGCAGTAAATCGTACATTCTCAGTCATCGGTTTGACCAAATTTACTATACGGATGAAAATCTCACAAGAGCATGCTTCAACTTAACCTAAAGGCATAGACCTTTAGTGTAAGTTGAAGCATGCTGCCACGCCTACCCGATCCCAGGGATTTAGAGTATAAAACGCTGTGTAAGAAGTTCCACCACATACACACATAGCGAGAACAACTCGTAGAATACACTTCATGAACTTCTGAACGCTACCTTCTGAACGCTTCATAATCAGCATGGTTCATTCTCCATGTCAACCTTCAAAAGTAGAGTTATATAACAGTGAGCACTGTCAACTGCGGGCTTGTAGCTTTTACAAGGTTTTCAAGGTGAAATTTTAGATTAAATGTACATAAATGTCTTAACCTCGTACCGTTCACTACACCTAAAAAACTGATCAAAGGAGCAAAACCTTTGTCAAATCATTCTTACTGTTAGTACAGACGATATAAATCAAGACGTCTTCACGGTCCTGAGGAGGACTTCAGTTGAAAGGGGGTCTCCTGATCGCAAGACGGCCTTGACATACTCCTATGAGCTCTTATCACGTTCCAAAGTTTTGTGAGGTAGTAAGCCTCTCTATCAGTTGATTTCTGTAGTTTATATCACAGCGATCTGCGGGTCGCAATCAGCGTTCCCACCTGCGGCCTTCCCACCAGTGGCTGATTCCTTCCTACATCGATCATTGCTCGATCACCATTGGTAGAGCAAGGCAGCCGGACGCGAGCTCGTGCCGCGCTGCGCTCGCCGCTTCCGACAAACTTCCATGTTACAAATTATATGTACCATTTTCATTAAACTGGACACTTTGAAACCAAATCGGACATACTCCTTGCACTGGGTAGTTGGCAACCAAACCATACTAGGTATTGTTGCTAGCCCCGCTTCAACACCAACACCCACTTCTCAGTACGGTAATGGTTTTCCACAACCTATTTTATGAGCTATGTTCCTGCTCCTTGCATTTTTGCTAATTCGCACACACACTCCAAACGAAAAGGGTTGTTACCGACACAATTATGACTCCGCCCACACTGTGAAGCTATCGCCAACTTTAGAATCTCATAGGTTTTTTCGTCATCGTTCTTTGCGCGTTCATTCTCCACAAAATGAATGCACTCATAGATACCCTCTAGTTCGCTGCGGACGGTGGGCGTGTCAGGCAGTATGAGTGTTCACACGTCAAAGCCGTTCTCTGCCTTCTTGTTGAAGCGCGCATGCGACAAAAGTGGTAGAAAACGAGTAATACGAACGATATGATACAGTCATATCATTTGCTCGCTTTAACAACTGGTGGAGAACGGGTTTGGCACCGCGCCAAACTCATCCCGCCTGACACGCCCAACCGTCCGCAGCGAACTACACTGTACGCATCTGTAGAGTGATACCCTAAGCCCCGCCCCTCTAACCATCCCCATTTTTCTGCCGTGGGAAGAAGCTTCGCACACAATTAGAAGCCCAG